CTCTACAGCCACCGACCACTGTCAACATTTGGCCTCTCTAACCATCAGCCACCATCAATCATCGCTCACTGTCATCACCCGGTGCCCCCAACCAGTGGTCATCAGCGACCACTGCTTATGACCGCTGTAGCCACAATTGAATTTCCTAACACTTGTCATTTTTGGCAAATATAATTTTTAATGTAAAATTACAGCATTCCTCTTTATCTTATGAGAGAATGACATACCATTGTACTTGCATATATTTAGTGGATTATTTTAATTAGGCTATACCCCATGATTTATTCCCTTCTAGGGTTTTCCACCTAAAAAAATTCAGTGTTTCTTTCCGCTATTTCTTTAATCTACATTTGTGTTGGATTTTCGTGCAACAATAAGACATTAAATTGTCACTCTAACGCCTCATAATTTTCAACCCACATTAATTATATAACTAGATATTAAAATTTAGGTGTCACTCTATTGGATATGTAAACATATAAGAATTGCATAGTATTTATGTAAACTCCCTTTTAGAGAAACAATTCAAAAATTACATATTTAATTAACATTAAAAAGAAATATTATCTATGTAAACACCCTTTTTAAAGAAATACGCATATTCATAACTTTATTTTGAGAGAAATTATCCATAAATTGGATAATAATTAACATAAAAAAATATAAATTTGAAAATTCTAAAAATTATTTCACTCATATATGAATTAAAATAATTTAAATTAAATTTTCTTTATTATTTAAAACAGATGTTATTGATGGGCTCAGTCCATTAACAACTATTATGGGCTTCAAGACAAGCAATTCCCAAGATGTGGGCCAGCGGGGCATGGATGTTCCTTGCTTCCCGTCATCATATATAGCATGCACTTCAAAAACGAAAATAAAATGCAGTTTTATTTCATATGCTCAACATATTTATATTAAATTTTTTATAAGTTTTATATGCATGCTACTCAATTCTTACGTGCTTACATATCTAACTCATGGCCTGTTGGTTGGCGTCATCGGTATAAGGCCCGTTGGTCGGGGTTCGAATCCACTGTGACGGCGTGAGCCTTAAAAAGTAGTACTTGAATTTTTAAGCACATTAGGAGGCTCGTATAATAGACTCTAATCATTTTTTTTAATATTATATAT